GGGGGGGGGGGGAATTTCTCTCATCGCGAGATGCGTGCCACGTTTCCGTCGCGCGAATTTCGCGCATCAGCCGCATCCTCGATGTATCCCGGTCGTCCGGAAAATTAGATTCGCGCACAAGTAACGTTATATCGCGGCGCGCCGCACCCGGAAGCCGCGGCGGTGTGCATTATTATGCGGGCGACGTTCAGACGGATCGGCAAACCGGAGGAAAAAATTTCCCTTCGGCTCCGCTAACAGAATGATTCGCGTTTCGAGTGACTTCAATTTCACCGTGACTTTACGAGTCGAGATACGTCGCCCGTTTCGTTACCCGCGACGATTCTTTTCAGCTGATCCATCGGGTTGGTGAAAAAGTTCGCTTCGATTTTCTGTCCTCCTCGGCAGAGAATCACCTTCTAGAGAAAAGAGCTGTGCGAATGTTGCCAAAACGTCGGCGAAGGATCGTAGACAACAAGCCGATTACGATTGGTTGACGAATCATTTCTTCCCATCGGACGCGCGATAGACTCAAATTTGACTGGAAAATAGTCGATCCACCAAAATTATAACATTGACTTAACCCGAATCGAAATTTTGGCCCTAAGTTAAATCTTGAATTTTACAACACAGAAGGAACTATGAATAAAAGATAGTAAAATAGTTTCGCACGTACATACGCACAATTTTAATCCTAATAATATAATTTACTTCTTTACTTTGACCCTGATGATGACATAAATTTCCGTTCTCGCTGTTTTTAGCATCAAAATATCAAACGGTAAAACGACAATATTTTTATTTAAAAAAATGACATTTGATATTAAGTTATGTCGTTCACATTAAACAGACCCAGTTCAAACACGTAGGTTAAATTCATTTTTTCTCTATGCCCGGGCCATTTAAATAGGTGTAAATTATCATTGAGAGCGTGAAAGCTCGGGATTCCGACTCGGGAATAACGTAATACTGGCCCTAATAATATGCCCTCGTGTAATCCTCGTCCTCGCGATACATTTCTGATTCCGGGCGATGGCCTCAGCGAACGTGGTAAAGCGCGGCTGGAATTTTCGATCGGCCGCGCTTCGTGCTTTGATCTAGAAAGCGGGCCGTGTTGCTTAACGAGCGCATTTCGGTCGTTTCTCTAGGAAAGAAAGTGCATAATGCCATCGCGCCACCGGAAAACACAGTTGTCCGGACGTTTTTATGAGGCACGCCGAGGACTGCCGCTAATGAAATTAGTTCGTAATTATGGAGAGGGCCGCGCGTGTGTGGTTACACCGGCTCCCTTTTCTCGTTCTGCTTTCCGCCGTGAGCGCGGAAAATGACGATGTTTCGAGAACTTCGTCTCACGAGCGATTCGATCTCTCCCCCCTTTCGTCCGGATGCTCGTTACACGCTTCGCGACGAGCATGTCTGCATCGCGAGATGTTAATTAAGTCGCGACGGCATTATATATTATCGACCTTTCTCGCGCGTCCCTAATAACAATGACTGCGCGAAAGTCTCGCAGCCTGATGGATGACGAAAAGAGAAGGATGGAGAGACATCCGTGGGAAGAATCGATTAAGTCCGAATGGCTTTTTGTGGATTCTATCTTCCTGAGAAAATCTACGAAAACGGCACCGACAACGGCGCCGTTTTACTCGCGCGCGCGCGCACTTTCACCGGTTTCCGAGCGATCGCGACGTGAAGCGGCTGATTTATAATCGCGGGAATACGCTCTCGGTAGTCTTCGGGAATTAATTCGAATTTAATAGCGCGCGCCGTTGCGAAGTGAACAGACATTAGGATGCGGGTCACGTAGCATCTCATAATCCCTATCTCTTGCGGTAAAGCGCCGCGGTAAGCGGCTAGAGACCTGTTTATGCCACGTGGATGTAAGTACTTCGGGATACTTTCGAAAATCGTAAAAAGATACGCGAGCGAGCGTGCACCCTTTGAACGAAACAGGTCGATTTTTTGGAATGAATGGAGGAAGTGCGGGCATTATGGAATACCCTTCAAGTTTTTCCAAGATAAATCGAATGATATTAACTCATTTCGAGCAGGTCTGCAAAAATATTGAAATTCGTGAGATCCAAGGTTTTAAAATAATCAGACAGTTAAGGAACTAAAAGAATCTAAAATCAGAATTTTACAACCAGCAGTTTTCTCCGGAAAATAGCCGGAACATCTGCCTTGTGTGTACACCTGATGATCATATTGTAGTGGGAATCATCAATGTTTTTTCAATTTTATATTTATTATTATTTTTTGTGTGAATTTGCGCTTAGAACGTGTTTTAATTTCTTTATATCTTCCTCTGTTTCTTATTTGGAATGTAGCGCGAAGTATCGGAGTATCGACGAAGACATGTTTTTCTTGAGAAATATAGCTGAGATCTTCTCCAACTTCTTCGTAGTAAAACGCTAGCATTATTTATAAGATGATAAGATGATGACCTCCAAAGATTTGGGACGTCTAAAATAGTACGTAACTCCGAATTAGCAGCGAGAAGAGAATAACGGAGCAGTTTCTTGCCGGTATGGAAAGTTCGAGCACTGGTAGTTTGCGCGCATGATAAAATTACTCGAATGTGTGTGTGTGTATGTGTCAGGATACAGAGGTGGAGCGTTATCCGGTACGGAGAGATAGAGTGCTATTATCTATATCCGATCTGACGAAATTTTGAAACTTTCCACCGTTTAGGAATCACTGCCGTTACACCGTTGTCAATATCGCCGACGATCATTTGCGATTGAGCGAAACTTTCGTCGTTACGTCATTTCCGACTTCCAATTCTCGTTAATGGAAATCGTCATCGATTTGGAAATGCGTGCCACACGCGAAAAATCTCAAGTATGTGTGTGCGCGTGCGTGTGTGTGTGTGTCACGATTGCGAGGACATTCTTATTTCTGAAAATATGCAGGCACGAGCGACAGACATTTCGGCGAGTCCTATGAAATATTTGCCGGCGTCGTCGTCAGTGACTCTTGACGTAATTTACACCACTGGCGCGGGGTATGTGTCGTACGAATACATCAACGTCAACGGTAAACGTTCGTCGCCGTGTCATCGCCGAAGTTGAAAGAGTTCGGCCAGCCGACGGTGGTGATAGATCGAATTATGCTAATGCATGCGAAGTATGTTTGACCAAATCGTGATTGTTTCTTGTAATTTCCCAGGGAAGGCAAAGCAGAACGCACTGCGAGATATATCGCGTGTGACATCAGACTGGGTTCGCACATTTCCATAAGCATTTCTAACAATTATAATAATATAATTTACTTTTTAATTAAAGTAAACTATATTGAGAATTACACATACATAAAGATGCTGTCGCAGATGTGTCGGATGATAAATAGGCGTCACTTCTCATCATTTTCTTTTCAAATTTCAATGTTTTAATAAAGGCATTTCTTCCCTTTATATTTAAATATCAAATTTTATCGGAAAATATGTCGAGAGAAATTTTATGATGAAATCAGTGTCTCAGCCATATTGCAGAGTATTTTCTAATCCTTCATCGTGGGTGAGGGAAAATCGCGTCGGTGGAGAAATAATAATTTTCTCGACTGTCGTAATTGCCGCACTTTA